ACCTCTCCTCTGACCCCCTATGGCAGAGGGGTCCAGGATGGCCAGTCGGAAAGGTGGCTGAGAACCATGATCCCAGACGGAACATCCTGCTCTCAGGCTCTTCCAAACACTGACAAAGTCCTACGGCTTCTACCTACTGAATTTCAGGAAAGTTATTTTGAATAGGTCATTCTTAAACATGACACAAAAGTCAATGTTTACAAAAGTATAATCTTCATGTATTGTACACAGGTATTGATATTCAGTGCTATACCCCACAGATATGTACAATGAACTGTTTCAATTATAAAAAAATAATTTAGTTTTTTTTTAAAAGGGTAATCAGAGGAAAGTTCCTGTCCCATCATCACCTCCTAAATGCACTACTGCGACAGCCTCCTTACTGGCCAGCCTGCCTCCATTCTGACCTCCTCCAGTCCTTCCTCTGCAGCCAGAGTAAACACTCTGAACTGCAAATCTGACTATGTCATTCCCCTGACTAAAGCACCTCGGTGGCCCCTCATCACTCCCAGGGTTAAGTGCACACTCCTTAGCAAGACACACAAGACTTTTATAGGAATGTTCAAGTCAATTTTATTCACATCCCAAAATTGGAAACAATCCAAATGTCTAACAACAACCCAAATGTATTCCTTTGCGGTCCTGAGAGTGTGCCTCCCCACCAGCCCAGCTGGGCCTCCCCACACTCATCCACCAATATCCAAATGGATAAACAGCTTGTGGTATATCCATACAGTGGAATACTACTCACCAATGATAAAGAGGGAACTACTGAAACATACTCTAGTGAACACTCAAGTGGAAAAAGACACAAACTGCCAAAGTGTTTTTCCTAAACTCTTACTCAGCAAAAATCAACACAGGAGACAGACTTCTGTGTGGGTCTTTCCCACACACCAAGAAACCAGGCAAGCAATTCTCCAGCTGACACCAGCTGGGTGTCCTCCAATTTAATTCCAACACTAACCTGGAAAGTGTCAGATCTCACAGTGGGGCTAAGTCCCACGAGACTGCCCCCCCTCCTCAGATGCCGGATGCAAGCCCCAGGTTGTTTTACCTGTGCTTCTGACCAACTGGCTATCAATCAGGGTTCCCACAAACCTCTTCCTTGGCTTTGGTTAATTTGCTGGGTGGCTCACAGAACTCAAGGAAACACTTAATTATGCAAAGGATACAGATAAAGATGTGCTTAGGGTGAGGTGTGGGGGAAGGGCGTGGGGCTTCCATCCCCTGCCCCGGCACACCTCCCTCTAGGAACCTCCACATGTTCAGCTATCCAGAAGCTTCCCGAACGCTGAGCTTTTGGGTTTTTATGGAAGCTTCATTATGTAGGCGTGATTAAAGCATGGACGACTCTGTAGAAATGTGATTGGACAAAAAGGATATGATCTGACACCAACACTATATGAGTGGGTAAACCCAGCAAGGCCTCTGTGCAATGCTCCTTCCTCCCAGATATGGGGTCTTATCACCTACAATCAGATAGGGTAGGTTAAAGAATTCCTTTAAGGCCAGCTCCAAGACAGAATGGTGGCAGAATGNCACAAACCTCTTCCTTGGCTTTGGTTAATTTGCTGGGTGGCTCACAGAACTCAAGGAAACATTTAATTATGTTTACCCATGTATTATAAAGGATATTGCAAAGGATACAGATAAAGATGTGCTTAGGGTGAGGTGTGGGGGAAGAGCGTGGGGCTTCCATCCCCTGCCCCGGCACACCTCCCTCTAGGAACCTCCACATGTTCAGCTATCCAGAAGCTTCCCGAACGCTGAGCTTTTGGGTTTTTATGGAAGCTTCATTATGTAGGCGTGATTAAAGCATGGACGACTCTGTAGAAATGTGATTGGACAAAAAGGATATGATCTGACACCAACACTATATGAGTGGGTAAACCCAGCAAGGCCTCTGTGCAATGCTCCTTCCTCCCAGATATGGGGTCTTATCACCTACAATTAGATAGGGTAGGTTAAAGAATTCCTTTAAGGCCAGCTCCAAGACAGAATGGTGGCAGAATGTTAGAACTAGCCAGGAACTGTGGACGAAAGCCAAAATATATGCATTATAATATCACAATACTTGTAGTTTTATGTTGCCGTGGCTTCCATTTTGACTATTGGGTTAACTATCTAATACCAGAAACAGGGCTTCGTCACTTTTGACACAGTTTCCAGCTCTCTGCCTCCTCCCAGTTCCTCAACCTGGTCCATCCTGATATCTGGCCCTATATAACTGCCCTGGGTAACTGCCTCCCTATGACACATAAATACAACCTACCAGACTCACCCCACTGAACCCACACCCTGCAGGGACATATGCCACAGTGACCACTCCTAAGTCACCGCATGGTCCCACGGGACTCAAGTCTGCTTGCTCTAAACAAACTCCCCAGTTGGAACTCGCCTTGGGAAAGCTGTTTGAGTAATGCCTTGGACCCCAACACAGGCCTGAGCCCACAGGTCGGCCTCTCTCTGGCTCCCTGTCTGCTGATTGAGTGCTGTGCACTCAAGACCTTCCCAATGGCACTCGCCGGTGCCCCTCGTCTCTCGCGGATCTGTCAGTAATGCACGGCTTCTGCATCTTACCTGACAGACACACACAAACCTAACTTTTTCCCTAGTCAGGGCTTTCCTAGCGAGTGGCTATCTTGGTTGGAATAAACTGGAAACAGGTCAGAAAAGAGCCATAAGTGCATCTGCTGGCATAAACAATGCTCTCATTTCCAGTGAGAGGGACGCCTGGTCACAGATCAGACACTCAGGCATTGGGCTGGTCACCGGGACAAAGAAGTATTCCATGAAAGGTGCAGTGCAAACATGCACCACCACCTCCCCTGGGGTCCTGCCAGGGCTAGTGTACAGGCACTCTCCGGAGAGAC